TCTGCTAAGAGGGTCTTTGCTGAATGGCATTCCCTTTTCTAGATAGCTCCAGAGATGCAAGTGGCCCCCTTGAGACCAGGGGAAAAATGAGTAAGACAATGGCTTCATGGATTCCATTATCTCGTGTCACTTCATTGCGGCGTGGCTTGTAAAAGGAATAGGGTCTGTGCTTTTCTTTCTCCTTCCCTTCCCTTCCCTTTCCTTCCCTTCCCTTCCCTTCCCTTTCCTTCCCTTCCTTTCCTTTCTTTTCCTTTCCTTTCCTTTCCTTTTCTTTTTCCCAGGGACAATGGCAGAAGGGAGAGCCTGGAATCCAGCACACCCAATTCCAGGAGGCAAGGAACTCCATGATGGAGTAGGAGAATCTTTAGGGGGAAAGAAGTAGTCAGTCTCCCCAGAGAAGGAAGGGGAGAGGCCAAGGCTCCCAGCAGGACCTACCAGGCCAGCTGGAGGCACAGCTCCCCAGCCACCTGCGGGATGGGAGCTTGCTGGGTCTGGTTCTGCCAGAGCGTGGAGAGCATCTGAGAAAGGGACTCAGGCCAGATGCTGATTGCCAGTTAAGTCTACCTCCCCTGAGGACAGGTTAACTTGACAAGGAGACCATGCCTTCCCAGATCCTAAGAGTGAATTTTCTAAGGTTGAATTTCTTCTTTTTCCTTTTTTTTTTTTTTTTTTTTTTTTTTTTTTTTTGTTAAGTGGGCTCCACATTGGGTCTGGAGCCCAGTGTGGGGCTTGAACTCATGACCCTGAGATCAAGACTTGAACTGAGATCAAGAGTCAGACACTTAATGAACTGAGCCATCCAGGTGCCCCTCCAAGGTTGAATTTCTGGTATCAGCTGGAGGAGGGTACATATTCTTATGTATAATTCCTTTAGTCACGTCCCATAGAAAGCTTTTCCATGTTACATTTTTGTAGCCTTAGCCCTGCCCAGCTTCAAGGGACTACTTTAGAGTCATTTATAACCTCTGGTGTCACAGTTTGGGGGGGTCGTCTTGGGCTGACCTAGGCTCTCTAGCAGGCCTGGCCAGTGTTGTTGGGGAGGAATGGAACAGAGCTGGACCAGGAAGGGAGAAACAGCCTGGGTGCAGAACTAGAAGGGGTTCCTGGGGGGAGGCAATTGGCCTGTGTGCAGGGGTGTCACTGACACCAGAGGGTGGGACTGGGGGTGCGAAGTCAAGGGAAGAGCAGGCAGGACCCTACCTCCTGGAGGTACTGGTGGATGATGAGGGTCAGCTGAGCAGAGCAGAATAAACCAAACCCTGCTCTTACGGGTGGAAATAGTGTGAAAACCAGAGGAACAGTAGGATAACAAAAGGGAGCCAGAGGGAGAGATGGCTTCTGGGATGGGGTCTTGGTTGTCATGGCAACTAAACTGCTAGCATTTGAAACTTTCAAAGGTATAAATGACTCTTTCAATGTTGTTGGTTTCTTTTTCAGTTACAGAGCAGGCCACAGCTGTGATAGGAGAAAGAGAGACTCGACTCAGCTTGCCAGGGTCAGAATGGAAGAGAGGGTCACCCAAAGATGTGCAATCATTTAATACACAACAATCTTGGCCACTGGTAAACATTGGGCTGGGGGCCGGGGGTGGGGTGGGGTGGGGTGGGGTGGGCGTAGAGATCTTTTATCCTGATGCACGGTGAGTTGGGAGGAGGAGAGATCTGTACTCCAGGGATGGCCATCTCTAGCCACACCCTACCCCAATCTTCCCTTCCAGAACAGCATCAGGAACTGCAGTCTTTATGGCCCTGTTTGTCCCCTTCCCACATCATACAAGAAATTCTATTTCTTTACCTGCTTCTTTTAAGTCAGGACTCAAGCTGCCTGCACCCTTTCCTGGATCATAGCTGGCCAGTCCATATCGTGGTTCATGCTGCTGTGGAAACAATGGGGGACTCTCTCTCTCCATTGTCTGTTTATGAGTCTGTGACACCCGGAACAGAGATGGAGGCTCCCACACACTGCTGCCCGAGTCCCTGTTTGGTGAGGACAGTGGGGTCCCAAGGTGCCTCTCATTCTTTGTGTCAGTCGGCCGGGGCTGCCGCAGCAAAACCCCCAGCTCAGGCAGCAGAGACAACAGGCATTTATTTCCCACAGCTCTGGAGGTTGAAAGTTCTGGGTGCAGGTGTCTGCTGATTCCCTACGGGGGAGAGCAGGCTTGTGGCTGGGAGGGGGCCTCCTTCTTGCTGCCTCCTCACCTGCCCCTTCCTCTGTGGAAGAGAGCACACGGGCAGAGCCCCCTTGGGCATCTCTTCCTCCTTTTATAGGGACACTCATCCTAGTTCACTAAGGCCTTACACTTGTGACTTCATTTAACCATTAACCCTTTCTTACAGGCCCTATCTCCAAGTATGGTGCACGGGGTGTTAGAGCTCCAACGTAGGAATTTGAGAGGGGCGGGGACACAATTCCATCCATAACACTCTTCCATTGACACTACATAAGAATGAAGAAATCAGGAACACAGGTCAGGACAACTTAGTAGTGGCAGTAAGTTTTTATTTTTGTTTTGAGAAGAGAAAAGTGTTGTGATAAGAAAAGTTTGCTAGGTTGATAGAGAGCGATTAGCATGATTGAAATGATAAAAAAAAATCATTAAACAACGTGGGGGATTTAAGGCGTAGGAAGGAATAAATGAAACAAGATGGGAACGGGAGGGAGACAAACCACAAGAGACTCTTAATCTCACAAAACAAACAGGGTTGCTGCGGGGAGGGGTGTCGGGAGAGGGTGGTGGGGTTATGGACATTAGGGAGGGTATGTGCTATGGTGAGTGCTGTGAAGTGTGTGAACCTGGCGATTCACAGACCTGTACCCCTGGGGTTAATAATACATCATATGTTTATAAAAAAATAAAAAATTTAAAAAAAATTTTAAAAATCATTAAAAATATTGACCATAGAATTGTAATTGTTTTGAATAAGTATATTTAAGTCTTAGACTGATGACCTCAGAAGAGGAGTGCTTCCCGGAACTTATTTTTTCTTTTTTTAAAATGATAAATAGGGAAGCCAGAGAGTAGAGAGAAAGAGAGCCCAGAACAAAAGGATCAGAAAGATTTAATGCAGCTGCTGAAAAAAAGAACTGGGTATGTATATTGAAAAGGCAGAGCGCCAGGCAAGATCAATGATAAGAATATTACAACGAATCCTGTCCTGTCAAAAATATGTAAGTACAGAGAAAACAAGGAAACCTGCTATGTGTCTACACACTAACAAAGAAGCACACTTCACAGGTATAGGACGAAAATGCCCAAACACAGTGGACCAAAGTCTAAGTTGATTTTGAAGGTGAGAAGTTTTGATAAAATACATATTGTAGGGGTGCCTGGGTGGCTCAGTGGGTTAAACCTCTGCCTTCGGCTCAGGTCATGATCCCATGGTCCTGGAATCGAGCCCTACCTTGCGCACTCTGCTTGGCAGGGAGCCTGCTTCCCCTTCTCCCTCTGCCTGCCTCTCTGCCTACTTGTGCTCTCTCTCTCTGTCAAATATAAATAAAGTCTTTAAAATATATATATATATGTGTGTGTGTGTGTGTGTATATACATATATATATATGTATATATATATAGTAGCCCAACAGTGAATTTATGAAAACAGAGAAGACATTCAGAGCTATGCAAAGTCTCAGAAAACATGCCACCTGTGTACTCTTCTTTTAAAATTGCCGAAAAAAAAATTACCTAAAGATACACTGACTGAAAGAAGGAGCAGAAAAAGAAGCAAGGAGAAGTCACTGCAAGAAGAGACCAGCGGCACTGATTCACAGCATTAATGTTGCTGTCCTGAAGCTGGGGTGTCGTGGTTTTAACTTCTACTTTTCCATTCTGGTAGCTATTTGAAGTAACAAATAATTTCTATAATGTAAAAATAACAAAATAATCATTTATATAATATAATTGAATAAAACTAAAATAATTAATGCAAAGTAAAAGTAAGCATTTAATAATGATAATAAATAGCTATATTATAAAATAGTGAATTCTTCCCTGTTTGAATTAGGAAACCAAGGGGCATAAGAGGTGACGAACACCTTGGCTTAAATACGTGGCTCATTGAAGATATTTTATTTTTGGCTCTGACATTTAGTTATTTATCTTTTAAAATATTTATTTATTTATTTGAAAGAGAGAGCACAAGCAGGGAGAAGGGCAGAGGGGGAGGAAGAATGTCAAGCAGACTCCCCACTGAGCTCCGAGCCTGCTGTGCAGGGCTGAATCCCAGGACCCCGTAACCATGACCTGAGCTGAAATCAAAAGTCAGCCACTCAACAGACTGAGCCACCCAAGCACCCGAGACTCTGACATTTAAAAAGTAAGTTAAAAACACATTTGGAAAGCTTGCAGGTAAATATTAAAATTAAAAACTCTTAAAAAGGTCTTCCAGAATAGAAGGCAAAAACAAAGAAAATATAGACCAAAATCACATGAAAGTATTCCAAAGAGAAGGAATAAAATAATATGGTAGAAATAAGGCCAAGTCAAAACAACACATACATGAATGACTTCTTAGAAAACTAAAATTGATGTTTATAAAAAATAAAATTTAAAGAACAGGAAAAAAAAAAGGAAAACTAAAATTGGAACTGATTCAAAAAGCAAGAGAACATCTGAATCATTTAATGACCCTGAAAAAGCAAAGAACGTGGTCAATATTACCTCTTCAAAGAACAGTAGGCTATATAATTTTATGAGTTGGTTCATTGAAAACATTATAAGCTATTCCAGAGCACATAAAAGGTAGAAAGTTTTAGGCATACTTGTGCCAAGCTGAGATAGCCCTACCTCTGATTTTGACAGTACACAGAAACTTACGGACCAATCTCATTCACAAATACAAGTGCAAAATTCTAAAAAATACTCTCTGCAATGGTATATGACATATATAATGATATAAATAATATATCATGATATATATAAAATATATTTATATATATAAATTATATATCTCTATAACAGAAACAAAATATAACAGAATATACATATAAAAGAGAAACAAAATAATTTCCACACAATTTAAGATTCAACTTGGTTTCTTTTTCATAGTGGTAGGACTGTAGAAATTCTGAAGCTATTATCCCTGTAATTTAGTTGAGTAAAAGAGAATAGATAACTGTGGGAGAAGAGAGATGGAAATACTGACAAAGAAGAGGCTTGTGGTTTTGGCTGGGGATTAGAGGTGTATCTTACACACACACACACACACACACACACAAACACACACACACTTTTAGGTGTAGAAAGAATCAAACAAAAAAAAAGAAGGCATGATGATGGTATGAAGGCTCTGGCTTTGAGTCAAGAGGGTAGCCAATAGCATCCCAGACTCACTGGCTATCTAAAGATGGCCATGGTCATGTCATCTGGGTCCTGAAGTTGGGTGCCTTAGTCTTTCTAGAACAGGGTCAACGAGTCTGGAAGCTGTTCTCATTGGCTTTGCAAAAAATAAACACCTGTTTGAGGTTCTTTTCAAATTCTGCCTCCAAGTCCAGTCCTATCTGACCAAAGTTGGAAGCCTGAAAGGAAAAAAAAAAAAAGCAAACAAACAGACGTTTAAGGATAAAGAATTAGGACTATCAAAACTCTTGCATTTTTGAATTTTTTTTTTTTTTTAGAGCCCCACCCTGCCTATCCCGAATACTGTGCTTCCCCAGCGGCCAGGCAGAGTGCGCAGGGCAGGGGGAGACGCTGATGCCACAATACTGAAATGGACAAGCCTCTGCCTGATTCCTAACTTGGACCTGACCAGTGGTCAGGACTGGAGAGCTGATTTTAATCACTGCAAAGCCTGAGCTTGGGATAAAATAGACAGAGACAAAGCATTTCTTGAAAGCCCACCCTCTGAAGGAAGGATGAACCTTCCGTTCTCCAAGGCTGACACGGGGCCAGGCATGGAGGGGCTCCCTGGGTAGATTCTCCCTCCAGCTCCACAAGCTGACACTAGTTTAAGAATTTGTGTCTTCATGAACAGGCCAACTTGTGCCATGGAGGAAGGGAAGGAGGCTGGGTGGAAATGGAAATCTTCCTTAGATACCTCCCAAGAAGTATCTGTACGAATGATAGTATAAATGAGGATAAACTCAACAGACTACAATTAACCACCTGTTGGCTTGCAAGATAACTCAACTAGTTGTCTCTCACTGCGGACAAAGGATGAACCCAACACCCTCTGAGGGCAATTCTGGAGGTTTGGGTCCCCTGGAAAATTTAGGAATAAAAAAATCCAAGCATGAACATCCTGGGAGTTTATTTCATGAAGTTGAATTCCTTTGTTCATTACTGTATTTCTGAGGCATGGAGAACAAGGTAACCATAAATCACCTTTCCTCCCCATTTGAACAAGGCAGGATGAGATGGGCTGTTCTCTGCGCGACTATCCCACCTGTCCTAGAATTGGGGACAGACTGTTTTCAGGGAAGGATGCTTCCCTCTCCCTGTTCTGTCTGAATTCCTCTCCACCCCTGAAATTAAGAGGCCGCTTTCTTCTGTAATCCAACTCATTTTGAGCTTTCTCTAGGACCAGATTGGTAAAATTCCCGCAAAGTTCTGCTGCCCCAGAAATTAGGGAAAAGTGGAAAGGAGGTGCAGAGGAAACAAGAGACACCTTTACCTTGTAAAATGTTTTATGGTTGCTAAAGATGAGGCGCATGTCGCGAACAAACCACTCCACTGTGTACACGTTCTCAGTCAGCCTTTCCTTAATCAGGTCCAACCACATGGCTTCCTTAAAGGGCTCTCCATAATCTCGAATCTAGGGACAAAGCCACCAAAAGAGTGATATTGGCACCGCCATTGTTCCTGGAAGGGATCCAACAGAAACACAGCAGAAGTGATGATATTAGCACTGGACTTGTCTATGCCAGACATGGTCTAAGCACTGCCACTAGGTTAACATATGATCCTACAACAACCCTGTGAGATTGGTACTATAATTACGCCTGTTTTCCAGATGAGGAAACCAAAGGAGGGAGACCTTAAACAACCTACTTAGGATTTCACAGCTAAAAAATGGTGGAGGCGGGACTTGAAGTCTCCTGAGAAGGGCTCTAAACCCTCTGCTGACTGTAAGAAAGACATTCTCATCTAAGAGAAGGAGAAACTGAGGTACACACGAGGCAGAGCAAGTCTCCCGGGGCTCCCGGAACCCGGATGCCGAGGGTGGAGTTTGAACAGGGGTGTCCCCCCCTCTAGACTCTGCAACTAAACCCGCTCTTGGCCAACAGCTGGCACCCTTAGGGGTCACACTCCCAAATTCCAGAGTGAGCTTTCCGTCAAAGAGATGCCCAGAGAACAAGAAGCATGAAATGTCACTTACGTTATGTGGGGTTTCTGCAAAAAAGGAGCTTTGTGGATGACAGTAGGCCTTCAAGAGGAGGAACTCACATTTCTGTAAAATGTGAAGAGAGCTTTAAAGGGAAATGCAGCTCCGAGAGAGTGAAGCCAGGCCTGTGCCCAGACAGACAGGCACAAGAGGGTGCAGCTAGACACGGCCAGCCGTCCAGCCACATTTGCGAAAGAGCCGTGGGGTGCATCGAACTCTGGACTTTGGGCGCCGAATCGCCATCCTCGGAAGCCAGACACTGCAGGATCCCTCAGGCACCTGTGGGCGCCCTTTCCTCCCCCTCTACCTGTTGGACTTCTCATGTGTCTGGGGTGAGAAGGCTTGGGGTTGGCACCCAACTCACCATCCGCTCCTCAGGCTGCATCTGCCTCTCCAGGACCTCAGATTCCCTGTGACACGGCTGCCTTCCCGAAGACTCCTTTATCCGGCAGAAGGTGCAAGTCCACGAGCTCCTGAGACGTGGGGGATGAATGAGCAAGGGCCAGGCCCCTGGAAACAGACCCTGTTCCTACAGCTGCCACTGTCCTCCTTTCAGGTATGGCTGATGGACAACACAGCTGGGATATGAAGGGGACACCTCCTGGAGTGTCCAAGACCCCCCAAGCAGGACTTGAGCCCATGACCCTCCTCCCATTTAGAGTGGCATGAGGGGGCTCAGTGCACGGAGAGTGGTTTCAGGGTGAATGGTGGGCTGCCCTTCCCCAAGCTGAGCTGCTGGGAGCACAAGATGCCCCGCCTGTCATACCCAAGTGTCAAAACTGGGGCTTAACCCCTGGGGACCTAAGCTTCTATCAGTCCTTTGAGCCCTTGGTAAAATGCAGGAAGCAGGCCATGTTTCCTGCCTTTTCTGAAAAAGCGCAGAACATAAACAGCTGGTGTTTCCCATCCTCAATCCCCAGGGATGGGAGTCAGGACAGTAAAACTAGGAGAGGATGCTCGCCAGGGGCAGTGGCAAGGTGGAGGCAAGGTGGCTCGGTCATAGACTCAGAAGTAGAGGCTGCCACGAAACCATATGGAACATAGACCCCATCCTGTTGCTCTGGGTCATACCTGAGCCTTGACACTCACAGGTCCTGCTCTTCTGCCTGGAGAAGAGACACTAGAGGCAGAGCCTGGGCAGAGTCCGTGTACAAAAGACAAGGCTACATCTCACTAACCTCTCTGCCTCTGCAGATGGGATGTGACAGTCCTCATGAAAGGCTCTTGGACAAGTGTCACAGCAGACCAGTGGTCCCCCTCTACAACACACCTCACATTCCTTGGAGTTTTCTCCCTGGAAGCGGAGAGAAAGCAGCAGCACTGGAATCAGCCCTGACACCGAGGGGCCTTGGAACATGCCATCCTTGTGTGTTGCCCAATGGAAGTTTCCAACCTGCCTGACCATGGTGCTCCGGGAGGTGGCTGATGGGGGACGAGCGTGGCCTTTCCAATCGCAGACAGGCAAAATGGCAAGAATCATCAAGCTGCCTTTGAACCACACCTTGCCAGAGCTGGAAGGGCTGGAGCATCCTTTAAGCCCTTTGTATACAAAGTGTGGCCTGAGGACCAGCAGCATCAGCATCCCCTGGGAGCTGGCTAGAGATGCAGGCCTACTGAACTGAAATCTGTTTTCACAGGATCCCAGATGGTTTGGAAGTACATGAAATTTGAGAAAACCCAGCTTTTGGCAATCTTCTTATTTTACAAGCCTGGAAAGGCAAGATGCTTTTTATTCTGCAGAGTCGATACAACTTACTACCTGAGCCAGACTGGCACCCAGGCTGCCTGTGCCTCTGGGTTCAGAGCTGTCCCATCCACTGTGTGCAGGCAAGTGTGCCAGGCAGACCCAGAACGGTTCCTGACATTATGGCCAAAAAACAGAAACATAAAGACAGAGAGCTGCTGTATAAATCGGTCGTTTCGTGGGCCTTTGAAATCATTGTCTTTCTCATGGCCTTAAAATGTGATCCAGTAAATTCTACAAGCGATTTTTACTGCTGGATAAAACCTACAGGCAGGAGCCCCTGGTTCCACTCCTGACCCCGCAAGAGGGACAGTGGGGCTCCATACATAAGAACATGTTTTCTCTGTACTAAAGGTAGGAGGCAGGAAGAGGCATCTTTCTGGGTGTTGAAAAGGTGGGAAATAGACCATCAGGAGCTGGAGGAAAGGACTGAAGGAGCAGGGGATCAGTCGTATCTAAGGAGAAAAATTCTGCCACTACCCTCAACTGTCCATGACACAAGTACAAGGACCTGGCTGAGGACATAAAGGATGGAAATGTTTTGTCCGTTCTCAAAACTAGGCACTTGGAGGGGTGCCTGGGTGGCTCAGTCGGTTAAGCATTTGCCTTTGGCTCAGGTCATGATCTTGGTGTCCTGGGATCGAGCCCTGTGTTGGGCTCCCTGCTCAGTGTGACATTATGAGTGAGAAGGAATATTGGGGCCATTGATTAATGCTCAGGATTTAAAATATCTTTATTGTTTTGTTTGCTCATTACAAAAGTAATAAATGGACATTTTCTACCTGTACATAAATGTATAATATGGAAAACAATGTCTTAATATAATCCTATGCCAAAATAACCAATTCATTCAGATATATTTTCAATCATAGACCTACATAGTCACATAAACAAAATTGGGTTCCTTCTACTACTACTACTAGTTTAAACTTCTGAAACTTTTTTGACTTTAGAACCTTTGAGTGATTTTCCATTGACTAAGGAGGAGTCTATAACCATGCCTTTTTTTTTTTTTGAACACCAATCAGTAGATGTATCAGTTTGTTTTATAATAATGATGGCCATTTGTATTCTTCCCTAATTTTTGGCTATTATAAGGAGCACCCCTGTTCACATTAAGATATTTCAAATCAGCATGGAAAAGACGTTTTATACAATAAACAGCTTTGGGGGACTCTTTGGCTTTTTAAACTTTGAATGAATCCAGCCAAGGGTCAGGCAGCCTCCAGGGTGACATGAGAAAGGCACCATTGCCTCTGCCTAAGGTTTAGATCAATGGGAAGTTCATGAGTGAGATTTGTATCTGGAGGACATATTTAAACAAGTGAAGAAGGTTGAGGAGGAACAGCACAAGACAATGATGACTGCCATTTTCACCTGGAGGGATGTTCTGCTGAGACAAAGCTCAGTTCAAACACTATTTCGTTTTGGTACTATTGATAATGAGCATGTTGAATTGAGGAATAGTTATGTTCAATCAAGGATGGTCTTTTTGCTCTTTCACATACTGTTCTTATCTACCTCTATTTCATAATTACTTTTCAAACTAGAGCTTTCTATTTCTGACAACTTTGGTCTGTATTCATCCAAATATCCAGGTCTAAAACACATGTAAATCATCAGTTTCTGTTCTTTTATTTTAAGAGTTATTTGTGGCCCATATCAAATGAACTGAAATTATGGCGGCACATACATGTACCAGGGTGCCAATGCTATTTTCATGAGGATACAATGCCTAAAACTAAAGGTGACCCAGGGCTGGGGAATTTGAGGACTCAAAGGTAAGCCTTTGGATGCAGAGTCTGCAATACGGAGACTGAAAATGTGGTAGAAATTCACCTGCTCTTTACCTCTCTCTTGACACTTCTTGGAGGACAGAACAAAAGTCCTTTCTGAAAGAGAGAAGGGGTCAGTGAATGAGGTTATTCTAGAACCTCTTCTTTTGTCCACATCGAAGTTCCCACTTCCTAGTGAATATTTGTACCGGGACATCCTACTCAGTTTCAAACCCAAGGTGTCTGAGAGAAACATTAGCTCCATCCTCCAATCAGTTCTTCTTCTGGACTTCACTTGACAAAATAAGCTTTTCCCCCATTACTCAAACCCAAGACCCCTTAGTCCTTCTTTCCAGTTCTTTTCTCACCCATTTTTTCCTCTCCATTTTTCCTTCTGTAGGTAAAGTCCTTATGATTCCATCCCAGTGATAATTTTTTTAGTGTTTTTGGGAGGCTTTGTGTTGGGTTCTGGGATCACAAAGACCACTAGCCTTGTTTGTTGCTCACAGGATAGAGTGTGAGCTGGGGAAGTATAAATGAGGGACTGACTGCATGACAGACAGGATGGTCTGGAAAGGTGTCACCCAGGGGTCCAGATAGAGGTGGGTATGGAGGAGGTCTTTATTGGGCAGAGGGTGCAGGGAAAGTCTCAGAGGTCTGTGTCTCCATCTGGCTTCCTCCTAGCTCACCCCATCTAATACCCCCAGGCTAAGCTTCTTAAAACTCTCCTGACCTCACAGCCCTTTCCTCACATTTAACATTCTCTGCTGTGGGTACCACCACTCTGCATTCCTAACTTTCTCACCCACAAATTTTTCTATGAAAAATCTAGCTCTTTCTCAATCATGCTGTTGAATCCTAAAGGAAATTCCTTCACATTTCTGCTATTGGAATTCCACTTATCCTTCCAGGAATTAAACCCATCACCCATCTGTTCCCTGTTAAATACCTGCAGCAGTTCTCCTAAGGTCTTTCCTCTGCAATATACAGTCTCCTTCCATTTCTTTGTATTTGCCCGTTTTCCTTCGATTTCAAATTCTTTTGGTGTGAACCAAACTCCCTCCTCATTCCGAATGCACTTCTCTGAGGAGCCTGTAAGATAAAGATGGACTATTCCTAGATCCAATTTCATTCTCTGTGAATTCACCCTAAACCTCAAATCCCTAATTATAGTTGTTCCACCTGCCTGGGTCCAGAGAGCCTCCCTGTAGGGAGGGAGCAGTAGCAAAAGAGTCTGGATTCCTTCTCTCTCAGACTGAAGGGAGCCCTAAAACCTCCAGGAGTGGTGTGGGAGTGGGAGAGGATTTGCATTTTTTGTGACATCTACATGAGGCAAGTAGTGCCATTGGGTCCATGTATGACTTCCTTGTGGGAGTAGAGTGGCCCAGCTGCCAGGTTTACCATGACACAGAAAACTAAAAATTCTTTCTTAGCAAGCACTTCTTTCTCAGCAACCTAGCTTGCAGGGATCATATTCTGGGTGATTCAACACACTGGTACTTCCCTCTCTTCTAGTGGTTTTAGGGGTTCCAAAGAGAAGACTGAGAAACTCACCTTGTTTCAATTTCTCTTTGTATAAAATCCCTTTGGCTTCACCACAGGTCACAGGAAGTTCAGGAGAGAGAAAATCTACAGTTTCATCTTCAGGTTTTTCTGAAAGTAGAAGGAAAAGTAGAAGAGTGTAGTGTTGCTCAGTCTTCATTCTCTCTTCTTCATGGATTTTCCTTTCCCTGAATTCTGATAATAGTAATAACAATAATCATGTAAATGGCACCAGAGACAACCTCTGGTTAACTGGCAGGAGGTCTTCCATTTTGAGAGGCAGATTAGCTAACATGGACAGAGCAGTTTCCAATAAACCAAAACATTGCCACCAACATTACATCAAACAAAATGGTTAGTAAAACATATAAGGCTTCTTTGGTGAATAGGTTTTAATTCATAAGCTCACTGGCCATCACCTAAGTTTCCTTTATTTCATAAGCATCCTGCTTATCCTTCTGTGTGAATAGAAGTTGCCTGCTCAAAATATTTCGTGGTGCACATGTGGCTAGAGGAAAGGTTTTTTCCTATAATCTTATCTTCTGATTTAAACCAAGGCAGTGTGAGTTAGGTGCTTAGCACTGAGTTACTATCGTCAGTCTTCATTTTTTGCTGTCCTTTTTCATTTTATTGTTTTTCTGTTTCTTTCCCTATGAATAAAAAAGAAAACCCCCAAGAACTCTAGACTAATCTGCAAATTGCACATGGAGAGATTTGGTAACTGTGAAACTCTGAGTAGGGATGTGGGATATTGATTCAGGAGAAGCAGTTATAAAAGTTTAAAATAAATATCAACAATTCCTGCTTCTTTTTGTCCCAGCCTCACTGTAGATGGATTCATTCCAGATAGACTGCAGGAGCTGTCTCTGGGGGCAAGGAGAAAGCTCTTCCTATGGCTTATGTTGCTTATACAGGATGTTACTTGTGGAATAAGTCTAGGTGAACAACCAGTCCAACTTTCTCAAATACTTATTAAAAGAACCAAAGGGAGGGTCCCCTATGTGACTCAGTATCGGTGCATGGGTGGTTCAGTGGTAGAATTCTCGCCTGCCCTATGTGACTCAGTCAGTTAGTCTCTGCCTTCCGCTCAGGTCATGATCCCAGGGTCCTGGGATCAAACCCTGTGTCCAGCTCTCTGCTCAGCAGGGAGCCTGCTTCTCCTTCTCACTCTGCTGCTCCACCTGCTTGTTCTCTTTCTCTCTAAATCTCTCTCTCTCTCTGTTAAATAAATAAATAAATAAATAAATAAATAAATAAAATCTTAAAAAAAAGAGCCAAAAAGAAGTGTATGAAAAAGAGAGCACCATTGGAAAAAGAACAGAGCAGCATCAATGGTGAAGAAACAATTAGTTACTTTGGAAAGATGTGAACTGGAGTCAGATAAGAAAGCAGAGATCCCTGGGGCGCCTGGGTGGCTCAGTGGGTTAAGCCTCTGCCTTCGGCTCAGGTCATGGTCTCAGGGTCCTGGGATCGAGCCCCACATCGGGCTCTCTGCTCAGCAGGGTGCCTGCTTCCCTTCCTCTCTCTCTCTGCCTGCCTCTCTGCCTACTTGTGATCTCTGTCTGTCAAATAAATAAAATCTTTAAAAAAAAAAAAAAAAAGAAAGCAGAGATCCCTGAGGACTGAAAGGATGACTCCCCTGAACAGAATGATAGAAGATGTCCAGTCTTGGAAGGGTAGGGGCTATAGCAAGCCTGGGTAGGAATAGGGGGTGGGAAGAACTTAGTTTCAAGAGCCAGCCAGAATTCTCGCATAGAATGGCTGGCTCCACTACTTGTCTCCAGACTCTGCCCACTCAAACTGATATGGCCCAGAGGATGACAGCTCAGCCTCAGGAGCCAGATTGGCTGGGCTTATAATCTTGACTATGCAATTTACTTGCAAGTTTATGTTAAGTGCATATTATTGTCAAGGTTGAGTGAAAGATTTGTCCCTGGGGTTTCCTAATGTGAGTGACAAGGCAGAGCCACAAGCAACTTTGGACTACTGCAAACCCCAAGGGGTATTAGCGGGGCACTGGGGACCTTGTATAGTTCTCTGTCTCATGGAACTGATTCCTTAATTCCCTATGGTAAATATAGGTCCCAGACATCCTTATAAGCAGATGCAGGAACAGTGGGTGGCACTGGCAGTTCTGGGCAGCAAGCCAGGGTGCAGAGTTGTGGGCACAAGCAAGACTCCGTCCTTTTCTTGGTGCAGGCAGCTTACCAAGTCAGGCAGGACCTTGGGTCCTGAGTATTTCCAAAGCCACCACCATGTACCTAAGGAGGGACAGCTCTCTGATCTGTTCCCAATAATTTTGCATTTGGCTTAGTCTTCCTCTTGCAAACAGGCTTTTAAGGATGGAACCCTGAGGAGAAGGCTTGCCTGGAGCTCTCCCACATCTATGAGATCACCATTCTTAAGTGTGAGCAAACAGTGAGGAACCTGTTATGAAAAGTAAACAATTAACAAAGAGAGTTCATGGGAATGAAAAGCATGATGGAGGAAACAAAAAGAAAGCCTAACAGAGACAAGGAAAAACAGAATGGAAAAAAAGTAATTACTGATTGGATAGATGAACATAGGGAAAAGGCAAAAGGTGAAAATCATTCATGGACAGACTTAGCCTGGGGAAAGGTCTGGAGCTCCATGGTAGTAGTCATTGGAGCTCATACTGCATTGTATGAGTAAACTGAGGCTCTGATCTTGGTATTCATAATTTGCAAAGAAGAACGGATAAAGTATTGATCTGACAGTTATTTAAGCATAAACCCTGTGAGACATAGAGCAATGAGCAAGATTGACTGCTTACTGATCTCATTTGCCCTTCACAGAGTCAACAGTTAATTATAGTTGTGACAAGTGCCATGAAGAAAAACAACACCGGGCTCTATGAAGTCATGTCAGGGAGACTCGCCCTTACCTGCTGGGACAGAGAATGCTTACTTCAAGTTGAGGCCTGAGGGTGTGAAGCAAAGGGAAGTTGAGCAAGGGGGATTATTAGCTTTGGGGAGGGAGTGTATGAGGGGGACACACTGAGGAAGTCCTGAGCAGGAAAAGAGGACATAGCATCTAGTTTCAAAATGGCCCATGCTCTGAGAAATCAGGCTAGTGGGGGCATTCAGCATGTGGGTAGGGTTTGGATTATGGGTGTGGGTTATGTTGTGTTTCTTGACCTAGGTGCCAGCTACATGTGAGTTTTTCCTTTGTGTTCATTCCTCAAGGTGTACATTTATGGTACATCCATTTTTCTTAGGCGTATTATACGAGCACTACTCAACATGTGATGTGTTGAGAGATAGCAGCTTGATCAAAATAGAATCAAGGCTCTCAAGGTTGTGGCATCTAGCTCTATCTTGGGCTCCACACTGGGTGTGGACCCTGCTTGGGATTCTCTCTCTCCCTCTCCCTCTGCCCAGGTGTTCCCCGGGGAGCTCATTTACTTTCTGTCACACTCTCTCTCAAAAAAAAAAAAAAAAGAAAGAAAAAAGAAAAAAGAAAAAAAATGGATATCAAGGCATCTCCACTGAGATGGTCTGGGAAGACAGTGTGTTCAGTGTCACAGATAATTTATAAGCTCCTTCTTTTTGCAGACCTGCCACAGACTTGTCAATGGCCTCAGTCTGTGGGCCCTACCTCAAGTAGCACATGTTCTACCTCAACAGTAAATTCAATAAATTCATGAGGAAAAAAAGACCAATGTCACTGGACCATAAAGGGAAGGGAGAGTGAGAGGAGATAATGCTGAAGAAGTGTCACAAAAGCAGAAGAAAAATGAGTGCAGGCAGAAAAAGAGGAGGGGGAAAAGGAGGAGGAAGAGAGGAGGAGAATGACCCCAAGAGGCCTCGGAGTGCAGGGGGCAGAAGCAAGCCAAGGGGCTGACCCACAGAGACCAGTCCAGCACCCCTGTCTATCACAGGAAGAGAAAGCTCAGCTCTCTGCAAATAGGAACACCGTCAGGGCCTTGCTTCCCTAAGAGTTTTCACCAAATTTTACAATGAAGGAAGTAGAAGTTGATGTTAGAACTTGACTCATGGGTTCAGTCCTTTTCTCTTAAACATTTTGGGTCACTGTTGGTGGATTCTGTGTTGAAGAATCCATCCCAGTGGAGAAATTGGTGATTGGGTAGGCAACCCAAGGTATGCACTGGCATTCAACTGGAGTGTCAGGTGTGACATTTTGTTAGAGCAGAGAATAATGCAGGTGAAAGATACCTATGTAGATAGAGGAGGACAAGGATGGGAGGGAAAGAGAAGGAAGACAGGAAGACAAACAATCAGCTGCTAGCCAGGGTGCCATGCAGCCTGATGGACAGTCCCTGCCTCTGGCTTACCCTTTGGAGGAATGTTTTTCTGACACCTTCTTGTTGAACTTGAATCAACATCTTTTTTCCTTTTCTTCTCTAAAAAAAAAAATTAAAGAAATTAATGTCATCTATAATGTGAAACAGATTTTTATGCTTTCTATATCAACTATTTTAATGTAATTTTTTTTCTGTCTTTCTACCACTTTGGAGAAACAAGATAGATATGAGTCTTGTGAAATGAACATTAAGTAATAATAAGTAAAATCTAACAAAATAAACATAAAAAATAAAAATAAAGTTTTATTTGCATTTGCTTATATATATTTGTCTCTGGCTCCTTTCATTCTACAGTGGCAGTGTCGAGTAGCTGCACTAGAGATTGTATGGCCAACAAATCTTGAACCATTATCTGGCCCCTTTTAGAAAAAGTTTGCCAAGTTCTGGCTTAGAACAACCCAGTTGTACTTCTCCTTCATGTTACTCATTCATCACAAGCTAGTTCCGTGTCATTGACATACATTCATCACATGCAGTTCCATGTCATTGACATACAAGGATCCTGGGAACAGAGCAACCTCTCTCTAGAACACTCTTGGTCCCATGGCGGAGAAAAAGGTGATACAAAGGTTCTTAAAGCTTTGGCTTTGAAGTGACCCTCACACCTGTCCACATTTCTTTGGCCAAGTCAAGTGACATGGTCACACTGGAGTCCACGGGGCAAGGGCTTATAACCTTCTGAGATATCAGTGAGAAGTAATACAATCTATCACATGCAAGATGCAAAAAGATTCCAAGGAAAACATGGGTGGAATATCATTCTTTGTTTTTAATCTGTCAACACAGAAAAGTCTTATTATTTCTAGTTTTGGTGGAGGTGGAGGAAAAAGAACATCTGAACGCTGTTAATGGGGTCTAAAATGGCAACAATATGATCATCAGTCTGTGCTAATTTTAAATATTAAGCCACTTCACTTCTAGAAATAAGCCATTAAGAAATACTACTAAGAGTGTGTCCACTTTGAGGATTGGTGCCACTCCTCCCATGGAACAAGCATGAATCTGACAGAAGCCCCCAGACCCATTGGAGCAGTGGTGACTCTACTAACGGAAATGTAAACAGTAGACACTGGGAAGTGGTCATGTTGAGTCCACGTGGCACAGCTGAGCTGACCTGCTTGTTGGGAGCACTGCACTAATTTCTTTCCACAACCACTCTCAGTCCAGAAGCTCCTTGCTGTCTTGTCTGCTCTACTCCCTTCTACCATTTCCTTCACATAATACCCAACCCTGCGCTTGCCCCATGAGAGGCCCTCCCACACTGAGCAATCAAATGGCAGATTTAGTCCCCAGCTTACCCTTTGGTCCAGAGGTTTGGACACATTCTGTCTTTGCCTTTGGGGCCCTTGTCATGATCTTTGAGTTCCTGGTTGAATCACATTTCCCTTCAGTTGCTTGATCCACCACATGGAGTTTCTCTTGGATTCTGGGCCTAGGTGAGGCTGCGCATGTGATAGCGATTTGTGAATAGTTTAAATGGGGTCCCCAGTGAACTGCCTCCTCCCCCCTTAGTGACTTCCCTTCTCATACCCCAGTCCTCAACCTTTCAGGAAATCCCTGTACCCTTGTACTTCATTTTTAATATTATTTTCTTATAGTTATTCCTCTTCCTTTGAAGGGAAGGAATATACACTTCCTTTGAGTGTAGCTTTTATTCTTTCCCAAACTCACAATACTTCATCTTGTTTCTCTTTCTCCCGTCAACTCCCCTTTTTGTCTATTAATCACACACACATCAACTAGAATGTAAACTTCATGAGGGCAGTGATATTTGTGATTTGCTCACTGCTGAACCCACAGGACCTGGGACATGTACCTGACACATACCTTACACTCCATTCGCCTTTGTTGACTGGATATATAAGGGGAGCATATTTTTGAAAATATTAAACTGATGTATTTTTTTATCCTTATGAATCACAATGGCCCAGGGTTCCCTAATTATTAAATCAATAAGTATCTGGGAAAGGATAGGTACTGGCTAGAACTGGCTAGAACTGAGATGTCACTGCTCAGTAGAGGAGCCTCAGAGAGGCTGTTTTGGAGACCTCATACTAAATCTTGAAACACAGAACCTGTTGAGAGCTCAAGGGATTTCCAAGTTCCAGAAATTACCTTTATAGGCTAACAATACAAGTTTGGAGGTCTAAATGTGAAGTTTTCCTAGAAGTCATTGGTAAAGAAAATGCAGCATATGACAAAGACTAAGTTTCCTCCAGCTGTGGAAGGTGATGGGGTTGAAATCAGGAGAAAGAGACAAGGGGAAGAAGAGGGCAAGCAAGGAGATCTGAGTCCCCTCCTGGGTCAAACCCGAGACTGAGAGGCCCTAGAAAAAAGCAGGAAAATTCGGAGCATGTCCAAAGCAGTGGTGCTTATGTCACGATGCATGTTGGGAGCCGAGGGGAAATGCCCTCCCAGGGTATTCACAGAATGGCCCAGAATCCAAGGGAATCCTTACTGATTGGCACACCTTGGATACATAGTTTTGAGTAAAAGAATGAAGGAAAAGGGAAGGAGAAACGTAGGAGAGAGAGAGAGAGTTAAGGGAGACAAGGACAGCAGAGAGATAAAGCAGAGGAACTAAAAAATACAGTTTCACAAATTTTTGTTTCCTAAACGGCAAATAATCCAATTTTCATGCATGGAGTAGATACAAGAAAAACAAGCATGAGTCAATTCAGGTGATTTTGAATGCTCAGTAATTCTAAATCTAACTCCAGTTTGATACTGGGAGTCTGAATCCTGGCTGCCCATTAAGACTTGCTTGGTCTATTCATCCTTGCTCTGAGCCAGACTAGACACAGTCCTAATCTCAAAACTGTCTGACACCTCCTATCCAGTTCCACCCTATTCCTCCTACTGATAAGAGGAAAGAAGTCTGCCGGAACCAACATGGTGTCTGGGTTCTCCTTCTTTTGTGAGGGGAGGTCCTTTAATAGGGTGGTCTGGGAGGCAAGGATGGGACTGTCTGTGCTCCAGGGATACCCAGATGGCCATGTGGCTGGAGGAGGTCATGCTGGTCATCCAGGAAAGCCCCTGAACAAGGGAATAGTAGCTTCATTCTTCTTGCTTACTTCTTGGGAGCTTTCTTTCCTGTCTTCTTTTTGAAGATGGAAGATTATATTTTTCTGTCCTCTTTCCTAAAACAGGAAAAAAAATCACTTATGGCTATAAATATTGATCTTCAAGCTTAAAATATCAATACTTCATAAATAAATTTATGTAAAAATACTCCATTTTATTTGGAAATGAAAAAAGAATTGAACAAAGAAGTAATAGATATACCAAATTATCAACATTTAAAATACGCCATTTAAAAAATAAATAAAACAAAATATATAATTTTTTTCAAGTTAATAACCAGTTTTTCAAGAGTAGAAGAAAATAGAGAGATTGTTATAAGCCACATATAAGAGATTTACTTAGTTAAAACTCAAGGCTAAAAATCATAAAGGTGAAAGATGAATAGATTTGACTGTTTAAAAAATAAAAAAATCCCCACACTTTAAAAAACATCCTTATAATATTAAGACCAAAAAAATGAAGAAAATTGCAGTATATATAAAATTTGCCTACATAGATAAAATCAAAGACGTGCAGGCTCTAACCAAGTAATTGCACTTAGAAATTAATTCTGAGGAAATCAATTGGACATGTGTGTAAAGATACAAACACATACAAACATGATTTCTATTTTCATATAAAATTAGAGATAGCCTAACTGTCCGTCATATGGGCGATTATTTAAATTAAATTGCTAATTATACAATAACGTGCTGTATAACTAAAAGAAAAAAATAGATAACATTGATATGATATGCAGATATGTGTATTAAATATACAATGAAAAAACTGTTTATAGACCCTATAGTGTGAGCTTCTATGTATATAGAGTGAGATAATGTATGCAGATGTCTAAGGTACAGAAATAAACTAGGGGAAGCAGATATGAAATAGGAGTTTCACTTCGTGATTAGTAACTTCCCGTACGGACTCTGTGGATTTTATTGAGAACACTGTATCACACAGACCAGGATAGTCTTATGCTGCAGTACAAACAAAACCACAGTTTGGTGGCTTCACGTTCACGGTGTTATGTCTCAGTCACACAGAGTCCCCTGCGGGACTTGGAGTCTCCTGGCAGCCTTTGCGGTGGGGCTGAGACCCATGCTTCTGGCACCTCCCTCTTCCACACACTTCTGCAATCAGGGGGAGGAGGTGCAGAGTGGCGCAGTGCTCTTCTGTGTTTTGACTCAGAAGTGACCCTCGCACCAGCTTATTGGCCAGACCTGTGATCACCACCCTGTCTCCTGCAAAGAGCTGGGAAATGCAGCATCCAGGGCTGGGAAGAGAACTGGAAATAATGGTGAGCACTTAGCATTGCTCACCACCACGGCACATGGGGCAGGGACTGCTGATTATTCAGCTTTCTCTGGTGTCCCTTTTTTTTGCTCATCAAGTGGTTGGATTTTGAGCTGGATACCTGTCCTTCAAGAATAAAAATGACATTTCCCAGCCTCCTTTGCAGTCAGGTGTAGTCAGGTCACTCATAGTAAAGAAATGGTAACAGAATGTCTAAATGCAACCTACAGATAGTGTCCTCAATGGAGGGGACGCACCTTCCTAGACCTTGCCTCTTTCCTTTGGTGGGAATGTAGACCTGCTAGCTGGGCCCAGTGAGGGGATGCCACCCTCTGGGAATGGTGGTACAATAACTAAGGAGTTTGAGATTCTAGCCTACCTCCACATGGGAGTGAGAAAAAAGTAAGCTGTCTTATTTCAGCCACTGGTTTTTGAGGAGAAGGGTGGTTCTTGTCCCACACAGCAAGCTAATCCCAATGGCGGCTGCATATTGCTTTTGTAGTGTGGGAATTTTTCTATGTTGAAAAAAAAATAAATAAATCACTACTTTAAAAATCTCAAATCTTTTTATGGTCTAGCATGTCTTTCGTAGCCTGGAAGAGTGTTAACAACCCAAAAAAGTAACATTAGATCCACCCTAACAGAGACTGAATAGGTTCTTTACACTTAGGCTTTTCCCCAGGAGATCTTTCCAAAGATGGTTTATTTCCATTATTTTTTGGATCTAGAAAGTAATAAGATAAAGTCATTTTAAAGAGGCTTTAAACTTATGACCACCTCATTTCAGACAATACTGAGTTGGCAACATTATTTAGGTCTCTTCCATTATAATGGAATCTGAAGAAAGTTCTAGGGGACCAAGGTGTCTTGGTCTTATGCCACCATCCCATTAGGTGTCTTATGCCACCATCTTTTATCCATGGGATCTTAGAAAAACCCACTCTTCCTTGACATGTCTCAGTCTCATCTGTAAAATTTGAAATCATTGTTCAACCTTTTTCAAGGATTGTTGTACAAATAAAATGAAATTATCCATGAGAAAATTTGCAGTATTTCTATATAAGTTAGTGTAATGTGGGAGAAACTGTTAAAATGATCATTTGTATTTCAAGGGGGGCAAATTTTACCCATTCTCTCTGATAATAAATACTGGTCATTTGAGAGTTGCGTTCTGTGATTTTGTGACACAACGACCACATTGCCAATGCACAGAAAAAATGTTCATATTCTTTTCCCCTCTAAGGATAGTGGTAGCAAATGGCCAATGGTAGCGGTGGTGAGGGCACACTCCCCTCACCGTTTGTCAGTGCATGCCCACAGCCATGTCAGCTGTAACCACTCAGTTGCTTATAGGACTGCATTTGTGTTTATGATGAGCTGGTCTCTTCTCAACTCTCCCAGAAAGGTCAAGTGGGCAACATGGAAATCTGGGTCTTGGGAAAAATTTTGTTCCATGATTTGGGAACTTCCAATAGAGTACCATGAATGTATTTAGAACACATTCAGCAGTAGTGGTACTGCTCCTAGGTAGAAAAAAATTGGTTTGGGGATTGGGGTGGGAAATCATTCTTTTTATGTATAAAGTATATGGAGAGACATACATATTTATTCCTCCTCAAAATAATTATCTACCTAGCTATCTAAACATAAACGGATATATAATATATTTGTGATATTAAAATATCATAGGTTGTGTTCATAATTAGGAAAAAGTATCTAAGAGGGCTCCTTAGGGCAGTGATAATGGGAAAAGGTTGAGAAACACTGATTTAGAGTCTAACAGTTCGGATTTGGCCTCCTGGGGACTGCACGCAGAGATGTGCAATCCCTCCTGTTTACCATGTGGGGTGCTTGGTGCTGTGCTGGGCGGCTCCTCCTGGAGGCTCTTTTCTTCATTCATTTCTGGTGAGTCATCACTGGTTTCTGAAAAAAATAAAAGACATTTCTTTCAGATCTCAGAAAATCCTCTGGAAAGTCCCATAGGAGTTTCCAGAGGTCCCAGGAAAGACCTTTTGCGGTGAAGGCCGGAGTTTCCAGGTCTTACTTGCACCTCCATAACCCACCCATCCTTCCTTTCTTTCTTCCTTTCTTTCTTTCCTTCTTTCCTTTTTATAAAAAGATTTTATTTATTTATTTGACAGACAGAGATTACAAGTAGGCAGAGAGCAGGCAGAGAGAGAGGGAAGCAGGCTCCCCGTCGAGCAGAGAGCCTGATGCGGGGCTCGATCCCAGGACCCTGAGATCATGACCTGAGTTGAAGACAGAGGCTTAACCCACTGAGCCACCCAGGTGCCCCTCCATAACCCTTTCTGAGAATGATTCTACCACTGGGTCTGTCTGCCTCTGGGGAGGAGCAGAGCAAGGCTGGGCAATAGCTTGTCTTCTACCAAGGGAGATGTCCAGTGATGGGCAGTCATTTGAGCCCCTGGACCAGAAGCTCAAAGTGAAGTTGTGAATTCCTGGGATGTCCCAGAAACCCTTTCAGGAGATCTTTGAGGTCAAAACTGGTCCCATACTAAGATGATCTTTGCCTTTTCGCTATGTTGACAAGTTCTCACGTGGAGCAGCAGTCATGGCAGGGAAAGCTGCTGGTACCCTAGGACAAATCAAAGCAGTGTCCCTAAACCGCATACAGTTTTCTCTGCCACAGACCATTAAAAAAAAGAAAAAAAAAAAAAAGAAGCCAGTTTCATTTAAGAATGTTCCTGATGAAACAATGAAAATTATTAACTTTATTAAATTTCTACCTTTGAGTATACATCTTTTTTTTTTTTTTTTAAGGATTTTATTTGTTTATTTGAGAGAGACAGTGAGCGGGAGGGAGAGGGAAAGAGAATCAGACTCCTCGCTGAGCACAGAGTCTGATGCGGGGCTGGATCCCATGACCGTAAGATCACAACCTGAGCTGCAACCAAGAGTCGAGAGTCAGATGCTTAGCTGACTGAGCCCTCCAGGCGCCCCTGAGTAGACATCTTTTTAATAGTCTATGTGGAAAACTGGGGAGTTCATCTAAAGCAGTTCGCTACATCTTGAAGCATGAATGTCTCGAGAAAAATAATCGTGTGATTGAGCTGCAAGCTTAGTGTCGAATTCAGTCCAAATGTTTGAGATATTATAAAATCCTGTGTAAGCAGATATGCCATTTAAAATGCAAGACAGCACAATGCATTGTATTGCAACAGAGTATAAAAAGTTAATTTTAAAAAATTAAAAAATTTTATTTTATTTAAATTCAGTTAATTAACATATAGTGTATTATTAGTTTCAGAAGGGTGTAAGAAGTTAATTGCTGTGGTTTCAGATGCTAATTCATAACTAACCTTTAAGAAACCATCCCTTCTTGACTTTGGGTGCAATATCAAAGGTGAACATACAGAATTATCTCAAGAAACTGTTGAAATACTCCACCCTTTGAAACTACAGATCCTCATGAAGCTGGATTATCTTCCTGTCCTCCCACCAAAGCAATGTTTCCCAACCGATCGAACACAGAAGCAACTATACATGTCCAGCTGTCTTGGATTCAGCTAGACACGAAGAGGTTTGTAAAAATGTAAAATGGTGCCAGTCTTCTCACCGGTTTTTGCATTTGGAAAATATACTTGTTTTTCATGAAAATATATCATTTATGTTAATAGGTAGTTGGTATATTACTGTTACGTTTAAATGAACTAACACATAAATATTTTTAAATGATCGGTTTTAATGCCTAATGAAGTACATACAGATAAATATAAACAACAGAAACAGAAGGTCTTTAGGGTACTCCGTAATTTTGAAGAGTGTAAAGAAGTCTTGGAACCAAAAAGGTTGAGAGCTGCTGCCTTAGGTCACAGCTGAGGTCAGTGGTACTGTGTGGACAGAGTTGTTTCTGCACAAAATGTCCTCAGGTGCAACAGATCTGTGTCCCTCTTGTCACACACACCTGTCTCCGCACTTCTCCTTCCCTCTGCTGTTACCTTTACACACCCGCCTAACACTGCCTGTTCTGTGAAAGACCCTCCCACACCGACCATTCAAATGGCAGATTCTGGCACTGGCCTTACCCTCTGGTCCAGAGCTTTGGGCACATTCAGCGCTTGCCTTTTGGGCCCTTGGCATGACATTTGACTTCCTGGGTGAATCGTCCTTCCTTTGAGTTGCCTGTTCCACCACTTGGAGCTTCTCTTGGCTTCTATGCCGAGGCGAGGCTTTCCCTGGGCCAAATAGTGATTTGTGAATAATTTTCACTGGGGTGCCCAGGAAAGCACCTCCCCACTGCATGCCCCCCGCTCCCACAGATTTTGAGATCTCTGAACTCCTGTGTCTTGTTTTTCTCCTGCTATTTCTCTGTAATTACATATTTTTCTTGTGTGCACCTTTCTTTCTCCCTTAGACTTACCATCTGCTCTCACCCCTGTATAACCTGTTGAAATTAACCAGAATCCCAGAGCAGTAGAATTTCTTTCCTGGGCTCTGTTGTATGACACCACATGCAGTGGCTGTATCCGAGTAAAAATGGCCAAGTGGTCTGTTTTGGCGCAGGGGGAGTGTTAAAAAGTACCTCTCCAGGTTCCTGAGGGCCTAGGTATGGATCAGGAGAAATCCAAGGGTCCTTAGGTGCCTCTGGTAGGGAGAGTGCAAAGTATTAAAGAATTGAGGGGCCCTGTGACGGTGTGAGAGTCTGGAACACAGAGGATTTGCAATGCCTGAGGTGGGGCTTGTCAAGTTTAGGGTTCTCTTTCCCATGGTCCTGGATGCCTTCATTTTGCCAAGGGCTTATATTTATATCTTTGAATCTGATTTTTTATCAAGTGCCAAAGTGACATAATGTGGGGAAATTAAACTCCCTTGATTTCTCAGTGCTTCTGTAAGAAGCCCTCAACCCCAGAGACATGAAATACATACAGAATAAAGGTAGGGAACGCTTGCTTTCACTTACCTAGACACATTTGCTCTTCACATATCATGGGAAAGAGAGCTATAGCTAGTCAATTGCTGTCTGATCTAAAAGGATAATAAAACTTCTCATCTCCTGAGATTGCCCAATGCCTAGAGCAGGGCTAACTTCCTAGGTTAAGTCCCAAAGTTAACTTCCCAAAGTTAAATCCAAAGTGGGGGCAGGGGTGGGGGAGTCCTCCCTCCATAGGTATTTACACATCAAAAGGGGTGAAGCCCAGAACTTGAAGACAACTTTAGTAAAACCTGGAGACACCTGGGCTTTCTCTGCCTCTTAGAAAGAGGCATTTAGTGATGATGAACATTTTTTCATGTGTCTGATAGCCATTTGTATGTCTTCATTCGAGAAGTGTCTGTTCATATCTTCTGCCCTTTTTTGATATGATTATCTGTTTTGTGTGTGTTGAGTTTGAGGAGTTCTTTATAGATCCTGGATATCAATCTTTTGTCGGTACTGTCATTTGCAAATATCTTCTCCCATTCTGTGGGTTGCCTCTTTGTTTTCTTGACTGTTTCCTTTGCTGTGCAGAAGCTTTTGATTTTGATGAAGTCCCAAAAGTTTATTTTGGCTTTTGTTTCCTTTGCCTTTGGAGACATAACTTGAAAGAAGTTGCTGTGGCTGATATCGAAGAGATTACTGCCTATGTTCTCCTCTAGGATTCTGATCGATTCCTGTCTCACGTTGAGGTCTTTTATCCATTTTGAGTTTATCTTTGTGTACGGTGTAAGAGAATGGTCAAGTTTCATTCTTCTACATATAGCTGCCCAGTTTTCCCAGCACCACTAGCTATCAGGGAGATTCAAATTAAAACCACATTGAGATATCACCTTACACCAGTTAGAATGGCCAAAATTAGCAAGACAGGAAACAACATGTGTTGGAGGGGATGTGGAGAAAGGGGAACCCTCTTACACTGTTGGTGGGAATGCAAGTTGGTGCAGCCTCTTTGGAGAACAGTGTGCAGATTCCTCAAGAAATTAAAAATAGAACTTCCATATGACCCTGCAATTGCACTACTGGGTATTTACCCCAAGGATACAGATGTAGTGAAAAGAAGGGCCATCTGTACCCCAATGTTTATAGCAGCAATGGCCACGGTTGCCAAACTGTGGAAAGAACCAAGATGCCCTTCAACGGACGAATGGATAAGGAAGATGTGGTCCATATACACTATGGAGTATTATGCCTCCATCAGAAAGGATGAATACCCAACTTTTGTAGCAACATGGACGGGACTGGAAGAGATTATGCTGAGTGAAATAAGTCAAGCAGAGAGAGTCAATTATCATATGGTTTCACTTATGGTAAGTGGAGCATAACAAGATGTGGAGCATAACAAATAGCATGGAGGACATGGGGAGTTAGGAGAAGGCATTTGGGGGAAATTGGAAGGGGAGGTGAACAATGAGAGACTATGGACTCTGAAAAACAATCTGAAGGGTTTGAAGAGATGGGGGGGTGGGAGGTTGGTTGAACCAGGTGGTGGGTATTAGAGAGGGCACGGACTGCATGGAGCACTGGGTGTGGTACAAAAACAATGAATACTGTTATGTTGAAAATAAATAAAAAAAAAAAAAGAAGTATTTGTTAAATGACTAAAGAAAACTTTGTGAATATAAACATTTGTATGCTTATGTACACATGTACGTGTACACATATTCATGTTTCACACAGCAATCCTTATAAACACATATTTACAAAAAAAAGAAAAAAAAAAAAAGAAAGAGGCATTTAAACTCCAAAAGTTAAGGGTGAGAACCTAGGCTTGTTTCAATCTTAATCTCAAAGCAGCAAAAGGGGTGTTTTTGTTTGTTTGTTTTGTTTTGTTTGTTTGTTTTTTTCTTTTCCTTTCAGGAGGGCAAGAGGATGGTTGTCCTTGTCCATAAACAGAAAATCCACCATTCTCATTCTCTGTCTCTTGTCTGTGGGATATCATCTGCCCTCAGAAAGATTCCATCAGCTCTCTTCTCATTGCTTATGGGTCTGCATGTGGGGGGGGGGTTAGGTGCTGCAAAGTTACTCTGGATGTTGAGCTGGTTGTGAATATTAATAAGGAATTCTCTCCCCTTGGATTCAGGTGCCTGGGTTCCTGCAGTGGTCATATACCTAAAGAATGTGCCAGTGTAAGTGGGGTACCATCCCAGACCCTTCACAGTTTTTGACAAAAAACTTACTGTCTTGGCACAAGGTCATAGACCGCTAACACCAATCTTGAAAAAAATGGAAAATTCTAAAATTTCTCCTCCAATTATTTGCATCTTCTCTAAGCAATGCATGCCACCCTCCACCCGGCCATTCAAGCCAGATACTGAAGAGCAGGCCTCGTTTCTTTCTGCTCCCCAGCTTCCAGTTTATCAAGGCCTTTCAACTCTACCTCCAAGTTGGTCTGGAATTGGCCGTCGTCCCCATCTCCACTGCCAGATCTGAATCCAGAGTTCTATCCACTTGTGTGACATCTGCCCCCCAAATGGATTGCCCTGCTTCCATTCTTTTCCATTTCCAGTTCATTCTTTACACAGCCCCAGAACCGTTCTTGTCAAACATAAAATGGGATCATGTCACTTTATTGATGAAATCTCTTCAATGTCTCCTCATTTATTAGAATAAAATTCAACTTCCCACACCTTGACCTGCAAACATGAGGTGTCTGTGGCCTCTGACCTCCTCTTGTTCTCTCATCTTACCTTTTGGGAGGCTTTTTTTCTGGCGTCTCTTTTTTGGAGTTGACCAGATACATCTTTTTCTTTTCTTTCCTAAACAGAAAGGGTACAGATCATCTTTTCATGGCTACAAACATAGACCTGCCAACTTTACCTGTTGATAATTTTCAGCTTTCCCTTTCAGTCTTCACACCATAGTGGTGAGGAGGTACTGGTGACCTTACTTGTTGCTGCTTCATGGAGTAATGAGGGAGAAGAAATTCCAACATGGCAGAGGAGAGAGCGACATGAAGAGATGTAGACAATGAGTTTAGCTAACTCATTTCTAGCAGTTTGGTTGTGAGATGGAGGAGAGAACTATGGAAGCAGGTGAGGTGAGCTGAGAATCAAGAGGAAGCTCTTTTCATGAGCTATGATAAGCTTGGCAAGTGGTTGAATGCAGATCCTGTGACAGGGAGTTGCTGAATTCTCAGGAAAGAGAAAGGGTCATGGATTTCATCAGGGGAGGTGGAAGGATTGCTATAGAGGGAAAGAGGGAACCAGAGAGGAGGGGACAGATGCAGTTAGAGTTTGCTGGTTGGTAGCAGGAACTGAGGGGATTCCTATCTGAGCCTTTCTATGAAGTAGGAGGAAAAGTAATCTGTTAAGAAAAAAGAGGTTGTGAGAGGGTCGGCAGTTCAAAGAAAAAGCTCAGGGTTGGAAAGGATCATTGCAAGAAGTGTAATTGTCAGGCAGCATGGGAGGGTCATTTATGCTGGAGTCATGAAGACACAGCCCATGTGCTCTGTCCTGCTGTGTGGCTCTCCCCAGCAGTACCTGCCTTCAGACACAGTATGCAGAAAGCCGATAATGGGGTCCCTCCAAGACCTGCCAGAGAATACTAGGAAAAGACAGTGAGAGTCAAGGCAGATTAAGATATCAGCAAGACGTTACTGAAGTGATGGTTTGTGGGCTTTAACCTTGTATAAAGCGGCATGAAGAGGGCATATAATGAACCAGAAAAGAGAAAGGCCAGTGCACTGGTCATCCAAATGAAGTTGAAGGACAGCTCCAGAGGGAACAAATTGTAAGGAAGAAACCAGGCAGGGATACCTTCATATTAATTTCTGGAAAAGATTTTATTTATTTATTTGAGAGAGAAAGCATGCATATGTGAGCTGGGGGAGGACCAGAGAGAGAGGGACAAGCAGACTCTGTGCTGAGTGTAGAACCCAACACGGGCCTTGATCCCACAACCCTGAGATCATGACCTGAGCCAAAATCAAGAGTTGGAGGCTTAACTGACTAAGCCACCCAAGTGCCTCTCGAATTAATTTTTAAAGATTGGTCAGAGGAGGAGAGCTCAGAGATGGAACAATGGCTGTAGAAGCAGCAGACTTTAAGGATTAGAGGTCAAAAAAGAGAATTCTGAAATTCATTATTGGGAGGTCAAGCCCGGCTTCAATGATGAGAAGGCTGATGGGTTGTCTTTGGGTGCAGGAGCCAAGAATTGGTGCAGGAAGAAGTCACTGGAAAAGAGCTGAAGAAGGATCTGAGGGTACTCTTATCCCTGTGTACCTTGAAGGTGTCCAGGATGGTGGCAGGACTTGAACTGATAGAAAAATTCTAAGTCAGCCTTTGGGGTGTGCTGAGGAATTGGGGGCAAGTCAAGGATGGTAGTGATGACGAGGGAAGGAGTATTTCATTTGAATGGTTAAGCCTCAAAGTAGAGGATGGAGGAGGAAGGGGCTGGCTGGGGCTGGTGGGTAGCAAGCAGTGGACATCCTCCCTGCCTTCCGCCAAGAGTGAGAGCAGACAGTAGGCAGCCTTATCTTGAGAGAAAGCAGTGTCCTCTCAGGGGAACCCACTTTCAGTTAGAGGGAGGTGTGACTAACTCTTCAAGAAGTTGTGGGCAAAGAAGACCTTGATGATTTCAGAGAAAGTGATTGCAATGGATACATATTTCAAAGGCCCTCAGTGCCTCCTGGCTTCCCTACAGTCTTCACGAAAGCCTTCAAGGAAGACACAGTGAATGCAGAAACATGTGTACATCATGACTACAACCATATGGTGGGAGCTTCTGACAAAATAGCAGAAAAGCAGAAAGTATCTCCAAATTCACGCTCCTGATGTCTACAGGAGAAAGGCAATCCTTCCTTACCTTTCTTGTTGGGAGGTATGCTGGATGCCTCCTGGAGCTCTCCGGGGTCGTTTGGTTCATTAGAGTCATCTGTTATCACTAACAAAGGAAAGAGAATTCAGTTCAGAGCTTGGAACAGGCTGAAGGAAAAGTCCTGAGGGAGCTGAGGGCAGAGCAGGAGGGTGCAGAACACGTCACCATGGGCTGGGGTTCTGCCAGCCCATGGGGCCCCCTGGCTCTGCCTTGATGTGATCAATTTGTGGTTAGAGTTGCCTAGGCGGCTATCCCCGTGAAGCAGGGAACAATTGTCACACAGAAGAAGACTCAGTTTGACCTGTTTCGAGAGGCTCCCCTTATTCAGTGGAAGAGAGGAAGAAGGGTTCTCAGCCGCCCTCATGCACGGAGTGAAGCTTCGAGCTGGGTGAGGGCTGACCTTGAGTTCTGGTGGCTTCAATGAAGGGGAATGTCTTCGCCATAGGAAAAATACATGTTATTGCTTAGAGGTCTGTGAATGGATATTTTTGGACCTTCTCTTTGTCATGATTTTACCTTGAAAAATAGTGAAGGAAGCTAAGAGTCTTGATAGTTCTGTGTACAAGGACCAAGAAAGCAGGAGCTAACTTCTACTTGTAAGCACGTGTTAACAGCAAATAAATACAAAGTTCTACTTTTTTGCCACACTGAGAAGACGGAAGGGCTGGAAGCCATTATAAATCTCAAGTAAGACTGTCACCTTCTCGTTTGCACAGTGCTATGAGAACAATCTCAGATTTTGGCAAGCAGTCATGAGACATTTTAAATAATTTGTTCCATTTAAAATTATTTTAATCTTATCAATTCTTAAAAATCGAAATGCTATAGAAATGACTGGTTTTAAAGTTGAAACTTCTCCACAGTCGGAGTGGGGACTGGGAAAAATAACCATCCACACCCGGGCCACACAGCGATTTTGTTTCCTTCACATTTGGATGGAGCAGTTTTGAAATTTACCTTATTGCAAAGACCTCAGAGTGTGGGTGACTTACACAGTTCTGCTCTGACGCAGTTCCTGTTCTTTCCCCAGGGTTCCTACCACCAGCACTCATGGCAATGAATGCTTGTGCTTAGCAGACCTCCTAGTGATGCTTGTAGCCCAGGCCCAGTGGGTACCAACTGGGCTCCTGCCTCTCATCTTCAGTGACCCCACTCTAGGTTTTCCTTTCCCAGACTTGTCTCCCTTGTCCACCCCAGGGTCTCCTGCATGTAGGAGCTCCCGAAGGCTGGGAGCACAGCCCAAAGATGGTGGTCTAGAGTGGCAAGGAGAGCCCTGTCTCAAGAAGACCTGAATGACCTCGTCTCTCGGTAGACACAGAAACTAAGGCAAGCTAAAGTTGTCCACATCAAAATTACCTGGCACGTAGCCTGGTGGGGCATCTTTTGAGCATTTTGTTATCTTTTATCTGGGGGCTCAGAGTGTTACCGGACACTGAACCAAGGAAGAAGAGGAATTTCATGTCCTAGGACCAGCAAACAAGGATCAGAGGGAGAGAAACAACACCAATCTACTCCCGCCAGTAAAAACGATGGGGCCAACTCAACACCAAGGCCCGCAAGGTGGGATAGAGCGGGAGAGTCAATAATCATTTCCTTTCAACTAGCTGCTTACAATTTTTTTCAACTTTATTATTATTTTTAAATTTTAATTCTAATGTAGTTAACATACAGTGTTATATTAGTTCCAGGTATAGGATACAGTGATTCATTACTACCTAATTTAATAATTGATTTCTTTCTTTGGGTAGTCTAGAAGATAGAATCTTCTGTTGTCATTGGCTTCATGATTATGTTAATCTTATATGGATGGTGGGTATTAGAGGAATGAAGGAAACATTTGGACCAAATGGGGCCCTAATGCTCAGTGTTAGAGAATCCATGATACCATTTTCGACAGTGCCAGGTAATACTCCATGGTTACATTTAATGAATCAATGTCCTTAATAATGATGGTTGGGAGAGATACGAAACACAATTTTGGAAACTAAATCTTTCAATGTTTTAGCAGATTTTTCAATCAGCAGATCCTTCAACGTTTTATCATCTTTTCTTTCTTTTTTTAAAGGATTTTATTTATATATTTGACAGACAAAGACCGCAAGTAGGCAGAGAGACAGGCAGAGAGAGAGGAAGGGAAGCAGTTTCCCTGCTGAGCAGAGAGCCCGATGCGGCTCGATCCCAGGTCCTAGGATCATGAAGACAGAAGCTTCCACCCACTGACCCACCCAGGTGCCCCTATCATCTTTTCTAATAATTTCACTAACATTACTCTTAGAGTCGAAACCACATAAAAATGAATATGACTGGAAGGCCCATGTAACCAGAAAGTGAGAAACTTAGTGAGGGTCACAGAGAGGGGTATTGTACAAGTTTCGTGTCAGTTCAGACCACTGTTATTGGTGGACATCATGGCATCAAACTGGTTGTGGAGGTATCCCTGACAAGTAGTCCTGTGCTGAGCTGGGGCATCGGTCCTCCTGTTTCTTTTTCTTTATCTCACCCAGTTCTTTTTCTCTGGGCTTCTGCTACATGCCTCTGGGTTGGCAGGTGCATGTTTGCCCCTCATATCCACTCTGAGCTAAACCAAGTCAGCCCCAAGCAATATTACCTTGAACAGTGTTGGGGGGAGAGCCAAACGTCTCCTGTGGGTCTTCTTCATCATTTATTTTGGATGTTAAGTTGTCGTCGGGCATTGAAGAGAGGAAGAAAAATCATTACAGGGTATAGGGACAGCATATCAGGGAGGAAAGCAAATGGTAAAAACAGCCAGGACAGAAGCATCAATGCCCCAGGGCAGAGAGTTGGGTTATTCCAGGGGTGGGAAGCAGGTGTTTGGGCTCTAGGCTTTCCCCAAGTCCCTGACAGGGCCCATAGTCCTTCTTGGAGAAGGCTGTGTGTGGTAGGTGGGCACACGGGATGGACAAGATTACCAAAAGGTGGGACCCTGGGCTTCTAGACACGACCACAGGTACACTAGGCCAGGGAGGCACAGGTGTCAGACAAAGTCTTTCCCTCACCTGGAAGGATCCTTCCTTCCTGGGTAGCTCTGGGGAGAGCCACAGCAGGGTCAGAAGGGCTGGATGGTTCACCCACGATCTCAGCTCTATGCTGTGCTGATGAACTGGGTTCAGTGACACTGGGTGAAGGGGGCTGGTGGCTCTGGAGCGGGGGCAGTGGCAGCAGCGTCTGGAGGGAGCATCCTTCTGCTGGGTTGGCTGGAGCTTCGAGGAGGGTCAGCACAGCTCTGTTGCATCCTCCGTAGGCAATGACAACTGGGATCGGTGAAGGAACACACATCAACGCCCTGGCTACTCAGAATTATTAGGGAATTTCTTTGTACAGGACTTCCAAAGAGTTGGGGGCATGGGGTGATTCATCCTCCCTCAGGTGTGTAGAACCCATTCATGACCAGCATCTTCTGTTTGTGGCCCCTTTCTATTTATGTGTTTGATTTGGGCATTAGGCCTCTGGTCTAATACCGAAGTCATTTCCCACATAAAGCTGAGTTTCACTTTGAACTCAAAGATTTAATTTTCTTCAGTTTTTCTTTAATTTTGGTTTCAGAATTTAGACAATTTTGTATACTGTTATAATTTTAATACATGTCCCTGTTTTAATAAATAAACACATCACACCTCCCTGTAGCAAATAAGATAAAATGTAAATTCCTTCACATGGTGCATCCTTTCTACTCTGGTTTATGCTCATTTCTGCAGAACAAGCCTCGTGATCCCTGCCTCACACCCTATGGTGGGCCACACCAACTTTCCACCCCATCCTCAATACTCTAGGCCCTTGGCTTTCTGTATGTGATTCCTTCAATTGCCAGGTTTCTCTTATGATTCTTCTCCATCATTTATTTCAGGAGTTAAGTTGTCTCAACCAGTGAACAGAAAAAAGAATTAAGGTGGGATTTTGGAGAGGGGCCTAGAACAAAAGCTTAGAGTTGCAGATCCAGAAAGATGCGTGAGCTTGGCTAGGTTGAGGGGAGCACTGCAGGGTGTGGTGCCTCTGGCTTTCAGACTGACTTAGCATGGTTTCTGAGAACTCAGTCCTCCTCATGCCATCCCGATGATGCCAAGAGCATGGACTCAAGTGCACCTGGGTTGACAGGGAAGGGCACTTTTCTTTTTTGCTGCCCCTTTAGCTCAAGGAGTCATTTCTTCTTTGGGGGAGGAACCTCTTGCTGTTAACAGTGGTGATCCCACTAATAAAATGTTACAATCCAGGGTGGCCTGTTGGTCCTCTTCCTGTTGTTCTCAGCTAAGTGAACCATGCGCTTTAGGCCTTAAGCCTAAAGTGATCATGTCACCTCTTCCTCTTGCCCTGGCCTCCTCCTTCCCATCCCTGTCCTTGCTCTTTCTCCTGCTCTTTATCTATACAGCTTGTTCTTGTTCCCAGTGTGCATCACGTTCTGCTTCCTTCTTCTACCCTCTCTCTGACTTCAGCTCCCTCTCCTCTCCTCCAGGTTTACACTCTGCCTTCCACCTGTCCTTATTTAAAAGGGGATTGAAATCTCAGGCCCTGGTGCCAGGAACCCCAAGTGGGACAGCTGGCTCTGCTCTTAGCAGACAAGTAACTTTGGGAAACTTATTCTGAGCTTTAATTTCTTCATATGTCAGATGGGGATAATAACGGCTTCTTCATATGTCAGATGGGGATAATAATGGGATAATAATAAAGATGATATGAGGTAATCATATAGAGGGCTTGGGACAATGCCTGGTACATAGTAAGTACTGAAAAAAAAAAGATAATTACTGTCCATCCCTATTCATTTCTCTTCCCCTCTGGCTCTCCTCATCCTTCTGCCAGACTAAGTCTCTGGAACTGCATTTCCCTAGAGACTCCCCAGTGGGGTAAACTGGACAACTTTCCCCCACATTATAGAACAGATAAGACAGAAATGTGTCTTCTAGAAATTCATCTTAGAGAGCTGGGGCCAGAGGCTGCTCTTCCTGGTGCACCCGTGACAGAGTACGCTCCCTATCTCTCCAAAGAACCCGGCACTATAAGTGTATAATTCCAGGGGGCTGAAAGCCAACCCAAACTTTGACCATAGCAGCTTCTGGCATGCTTTTATAGCCCAAAAGATATTCAAGAAGCCTCGTACCTCTTCTGAAGCCCTTGAGAATAGTTGTCAGACTGGGATATTCATGCAGGTTAATTCGGCTGAACAACGTCTTCAGAATCGACAGACTGAAGGTCTTTTCCAGGTGGGTGAGGATGTTGTACACTACTCTGGGTACGGGGACCTGATTTCTACAGGCTTCCAAGGATTCCTTAAAAAATGGAGTTGAGGATTATTATAAATGATTATAAAACAGAATGGAAGTTTATTACACATTTATGGTTTTCTGAGTTGTAGGAATGGTATTCTGTTCTGTTAAGAAGGAATTTAGCACAAATGCATGGTTAAACTCTAAGATAGAAAAGTTACAGTTCCACATGTTTACTTTTAGAACTTCACATACATTTGGATTGTTAGTCATAGGAATAAATAAGTTTTAAAATAAGTTTGCTTTGTGAACCTTATTTTAGGTACATTTGAGGGAAGAGAGAAATTTTAGGGAAGGAAAAGGGGAGTCGAGGCTGCTACTGCATCATTAATTCTCCAAGGCTCTGAGCAGAACTCTGTAGCAATGGATCAAGATGTTGGTCACAAGGGGGCAATTCTGCAATTGCTTGTTAGCCTCTGTTCTATCTCTTGGACTTGGGATAGCCTGAATGGGTTCATCCAGAGAACTCCTCTTCAGGAGAAGCTGGCCAAAAGGAGAAACATGGCAGGAAAATTAACAACATAACACTGAGCACCTACTAGACTAGTCCTTGGGTAGAAAGCAATGGATAAGATAAACATGGTGCTACCCATGCTGAGCGAGGGACACTGTCAGGTGGAGAAGATAGGTATTAAATAATAAACAAATTAAAGAAATGCCCAGTTGCTATTGAGAAAATTGTTATGAAAAGAAAGCATAGATTTCTTGGAGAAATCAATTGGATGAGTGGGTTGAGGAAGCCTCTCTGAGTAGTGACATCTGGGCTGTGATGTGAAGAGGGGTTGGAACCAACCAGGCCGAGACTGGGAGAAGATCGTTCAACCACTGATGCACTTCCCTGGGCCTGGTGCTCAGGAAATGCATTAAGAAAACCCCCAAATTATAAAAGAATGCCCTTTTGGTCTGCATAGTCATATCTTCCAATGCCTGCCTTGCTTCACATCTGAATGGATTGTGCTCAACAAGCTCTTAGGAACTGGGAGGGTGCCCTTTGTGGGTTGAATGGTGTCACTCCTCCAAAAAGACACGTCCATCTGAACCCTATAAATGTGACCTTATTTGCAAAAAGGGTCTTTGCAGATGTAATTAAATTAGGATCTTGAGATGAGATTACCCTGGACTAGAGTGGGCTCTAAATCACAATGACCAATGTCCTTGTAAAAGGAGAGAAGGAGAAAAGACAAGGATAGGAAAAGGTCATGTAGAGCCTGATGTGGAGATTGAAACCACGATTATAGGTGATTTTTCTATAGGCCCAGGAACACAAAGGTTGCTGGTACCACTAGAAGGCAGGAGAGTTAGGGAACGGGTGCTCCCTCAGAACCTCCAGAAGGAACCAACTCTGCCAACACCTTGATTTTGTACTTCTGGTTTCCAAAACTGTGAGATAATACATTTCTCTTGTTTCGAATAACCTTGGTCGAGGTCATTTGTATGGCAGGCCCTGTGACCCCATCTTTCCCTGACAATGAGCCTTTGGGAATAGGTCTTTTGAGCTCCAGAAGCCCTAGGAGTTTGGGGCTTGTAACTTCAGTGATGGGGGCTCCTTGGTGAGGCTGGGCTGACATGGGAAAGCAGGCAGCATGACTCACCCTGTACATTGTCTCTGTGATGAAGGAGTTGTCTCGGAAGCCTTCAAGGAAGGGAAATGGCTTGTATATGGCATAGGCAGTTTCCAGCTTCTGGTATATGAAGTGCTGGAGAAGAGCCTCTTCCAAGGCCCTGGTCATGGTGAGCATCCTATGAAAGAGGCATGAGAAGAGAAGAAAGACTCTGGGAATTCGGGGAGCTGCTCTCTGCACTCAGTAGCCATCTTCAGACGAGCATCCTGGTCCCAAAGGCAGCCCTGAGCAGTCTGCAAAGCAAAATGCCTGCCTCAAAGGCTCATGGGCATAGGAGGCAATAACAACATCCAGCGACCGTGGAGATGGAAAGCAACCAAGAATATGATGGCGAAATCCCAAAGGGGCTGCTGGTAAACATAAAACAGATTTCAAATAGCCAATATCTATTGAGTACTTTCTATGTGCCAAACTTTGTTCTAAGGGTTTCGCGTGCACTAGCTTATTTGAGCTTCACAAAACACTTGCAAGATGGTTACTGTGATTGTACCCATTATATTGTGAAGGACACTGAGACATAGAGGTGTTTACTATCTTGCCCTAAATCATATGACTTGGAAGTGGTAGAAAGTAAACAAATTCCAACTTTTTGCTTCTAGGTTTATGGTCATAAGTTCTATCGTCCATGGCTACATTGAAAGGAGTTAAGATTGCCTGAGCAGTCACTTAAGGCAAACACTAACAAAGCTCGTAAAGAGGGACCACCCGGTAATGAGTAGAAAGACGAAAACCTGATAATATGTAGAAACTTTAGTAACCCACCTATAATCTTTGACACAAAAGCAAGACAAACATAAACAGATGTGAAAGACGTGAAAGACATGATTAGTAAAGGCAATGTAACTGATTTATTATATGTATCAATTTCATATCTCAGAACAGACATGGGCTTTTCCCATGCTCATGCGACATTTATAAAAATTAGCTATGATAGGCCAGGAGAAAATATTCATGTTATAATAGGTAGCAAACTTACAGATGACATTCCTGACAAATTGTCAAGAAGAGTACTAACAAAAAAACTCAACCACCCAGAGATTTTTTTTTTTAAAACAAAACAGAGATTCCAACTTTCCAACTTCATTTTGTGTATGATTGAAAGTTAAACTGTAAGTAATGACTGTTCCAGGGTTAATACCAGTGGTAGACAGAGCATCCCTGCTCTCTCTACTCATTCCCACATCCTGTAAGTTTGACAGGAAAAAAGAAACATATCGTAAAAATAGGATAATCCATAACAGTCCTGAGAAAGAAAAGACACCATGGGAGATCTATAATTGTGAAGAAATCCTGGAAGACTGAGAACAGGTGGAAGGGAGATCTAGAATCCCTGATACAGACAGAATCCATCCAATGGGGAAGGATACTTCAAAGATCAACACAGAGTAAGAGAAAGCCAGAATGAACAGGTGGTAAGAAGAGGAAGTGGCCCTGGGGTTACATTTAGGATGATTAATTATACTACAGCATTCAGAACATAATATCCACTAGGTTCCTTTTTCTTCGTCTCTTATGATTCTCAAGAATGGAAGCAAGGCACAGAGAGGTTAAGTAACTAGCCTAAGGTTGGTAAAACAGAGCTTGTCTGACTAAAGCCCCATTTTTTTTAAACATATGTATATATTTTTAAAGATTGTATTTATTTGACACAGAGATCACAAGTAGGTAGAGAGATAGGCAGAGAGAGAGGGGGAAGCAGGCTTCCCGCTGAGCAGAGAGCCCAATGGGGGGGGGCTCAATCCCAGGACTCTGAGATCACGACCTGAGCCGAAGGCAGAGGCTTAACCTACTGAGCCATCCAGGCGACCCTAAGCCCCATTTTTTACTAGTGCATGATACTGGGTCTTGTATGCAAGTGTTCAGATTTTTATCATGTAAAGCAGTCTTAAAAACGAATAAGCAATAGATAAACATCCACATAGAAAAAAAGCAAAAGGCATAAACAGGCAAGTAAGTCAAGTGTGCAATAAATATATAAAAACATGGCAATTCACTAGTAGTTGGGACAGTACAAAAGAAGACAATGTAATAATTTTTTTATAAAGATTTTATTTATTTGTCAGAGAGAGAGAGAGAGCGAGAGAGAGAGCGTGCGCACAAGCAGGGGGAGCAGCAGGCAAAGCAGGCAGAGGGAGAAGCAGGCTCCCTGCTGAGCAAGGATCCCAATGCCAGATTTGATCCCAGGACCCCGGGATCATGACCTGAGCAGAAAGCAGATGCTTAATCACTGAAACACCCAGGCATCCTGAAAACTAAATAATGTTTGCCTATTAAATTTTTCCATATAAAGAATAAAAGCAATAATCACAAATGCTCCTGGTGAAAATGTAAACAGGTCCAAATGTTCGGGAGGCTAATTTAGCCATCAGGGTCAGATGCTCTAAAGCATGTATTCATTGAGTTCCAAATTCCATTTCCAGGAATTTATTTCAAGGAACCAATCATAAATGTACTTAAGAAAAATATATAAAAAGTTCATGAAACACTAGAGAGGAAATTAAATGTTTTCTCTTTATTATCTCTTTCCCACCAACTACCTCTAGTCACTTGCACGATGAATAATAAATAAGTTGCCCATTTGGGGCAGAGTGCAAATCACAGAACACGAAGAGGAGAGTAGAGAGCAAATCTTGGTTCCATCCACAACAACAGGCTAGAATTTAGGAAAAAAAGTGTTGAGCTGTGTCTCTGCTCCCCCACTACTCCCACGTCTGTCCCCCTTTTTCAGAGTCTCTGGTTAAATCCCACTTTGCTCTCTATGTTTGGAAGACAATATTTTACAAAGAGAGAGGCTCACAGTTTGAGTCGTTGGTTCTATCCTGTAGCTGCTGCTGGAAATCAGCTCTCCGAACCCAATCACCAAACATGAAGAATAAAGCAGCCAAGACAAAAACCCACCCGGATGCTGGGTCTGCCAACCTGCTCTGCTCCTTTCCCGGTCCAGGGTCTGGGCGAGGAATCACTCCTGGAAGAGTGAGGGAGAAAGAGAGAACAGCAGGGGGATGCCAGGGGTGAAACAGGAAGTCTGTACTTGGCCACATGCAGTGAGGGCCAGGCTTCCGGAGAAAAGAAAAGTGAAAGTATTTGGAGCAGATCGTGCAGGAAGCTGAAGACAGTGCTTGCTGCCTTCCTCCATCACCGTCCAGACACTTGTGAGGTTCTCGGGGGCATTTGGGGGAGGTGGGGAGTGCTGCCATCTGGATCAGCCTGGGGAGGGCTGGGCAGGAGGGAGGAGGCATTAGGGTCCAGCCCCAGGGGCCATGGGAGGGAGCTGGGAATCTACAATCTGTATGCTTCCCTACCCACTTCTATTTCCCCAGGACTTGTTCTCCTTCTGTAATTTTGGGGGTATGAAAATGTTTCCAAACTGAAGTATGGTGATGGTTATACAACTGAATAAATTTACTAGAAACCATCAAAGTTCAAAAAACAAATGGAAACCAAAGGGGAGGGGAGGTAATTCAGAAATGCCCATAATTTGTCAGGATAAAATTATTGTCTGAGAAAGTTGAGATAAAAGGGAACCTGAATATAATCTGAAATCATGGGACGCCTGGGTGGCTCAGTGGGTTAAAGCCTCTGCCTTCGGCTCGGGTCATGATCTCAGGGTCCTGGGATCGAGCCCCGCATTGGGCTTTCTGCTTGCCAGGGAGCCTGCTTCCCCATCTCTCTCTCTGCCTGCCTCTCTGCCTACTTGTGATCCCTGTCTGTCAAATAAATAAATAAAAATCTTTAAAATAAAAAAAAATAATCTGAAATCATGTAAAGGTAGGGAGACTTCTGGGCAGGAAAGTGACCAGGGGCCAGGCAGACATTTGGGAGCAGGGGATGTGAGGAAGCCAGGTCTAAGAGCTGGGACCAGGAGAAGACTCCAGACAGCCGCTTCAGGGAAGGCAGAATACCCCCTCCAAACACCCTTTAAAGATTCCTTATGTACATTGGCATGCAAGGTCTGTGAGAACACAGAAATCTGTTTAACTTTATTTAAATCAATAATTCTCAAATGTTCTCTACCCATGAGCTCCCCTTACCAGGACACCCATACTCCTCATGGGGGGAAAAAAAGGGAGAAACGGTTCTGGGGTCTAAGAAATCTTGAAACCAGGGCTCACAGGCTCAAGTGAGAGCCCTTCCGTGCTTGTTATGGAGGCACCAGCAACCCAGGCATATTCTAGAGCAACAGGCCCAGCCCTGGGGCTGGCAGGTCAGCACTGTAAGGATGACAGAAGCATAGGAGACTCAGGAAGCCCGTGGTAATAGAGGGAGCCCCAGGACACAATGTGGTGCTCACGGCTGAGAGGGTCCTGCGGTGCTCGGTAGCATACAGCACTGGGTGGTGCAGGGGTGTGGGCAGCGAGAGGGAATCAGACCATTTTGTACAATTGTCACACTTCATTTACCTGAAGCCCTCCACTTACCCTAGAAAATCCCCTCATGGACATTGGACATCCCAGCCTGGAACCAAGAATCCCATCCTTTAGACCCCCCCAGAGATAGATAAGGCAAAGGGGGGGGGGGAAGCAGATGAGGAAACAACGCCAGATCAGACGGAAATGATTAAACTAGAAAAAGATGTGAATAAAGATGAAAGATGTTTTTATCTAAGCCATGCATGCTTGAGAATACAGTACTAATGAGAAAAGTTGAGCTATTTATTTCAGTGATAAATGTTCTGAGAATTTACTAAAATTATGCATAATTCCTTTTTAGCTCAATTTTACTGAGGCATAAAAATGCATTCATCTTAAGTGTCTGTTTAGCTCGATGAGTTTTAACAATGTAATCATAATTACAATTAAAATATAAATCATTTCCTTCACTCCAGGAAGTTTCCTCATACCCTTTGCAAATAACCTCCTCCCCAAAAACCGCATCAGTCAGTCACTGATGTGCTTCCTGTTATTGCAGATTCTTTTTGCAGGTATCAAAGTTTTGCAGAAATGAAAAAATACAGTATGTACATTTTGATATATGGCTTCTTGGGGTCGTCATGATGCTCTTGAGATTGAGGGTCAATATTATTCCTCTTCAGCAGGTGTGCTGGCCAGCTCTCTTTCATCCTGTCTGATCACCACGATGTCACCAATGTAACTGATTGGTGTGATGTTCTGTGGGATGTCCAGGTGATCCAGATCTCTTCTATTTTATGACAAAGGACAGGTGAGTTAATATAACCCTGAGACAAAACTGTAAATGAGTGTGCTTATGTGTCATGCAGGAACTAAAACTCTTTCCGACCCTCCTTTCTAACCAGAATGGAAAGAACATATTGCCAAATCGGTGGCCACATACCATGGATCTGAGGTCCGTGGAATGACCTGGGCTTAGGATCTTACTGCCCAGACTGCTTATTTTCTTATCTCAGTCCTTGGTCATCCTGTAAATTCTGGGAGTTACCCAACATACATCTAAGAAGTTGATTTTCTGCCTGAGTTAGCCAGTGTCAGTTTTGATTACTCATACCCCAAAACTCCAACTGACTAAAAGTTGGTATCAGAATGAATTGTGGGCAACGAGTCTTCACAGAAGTATGCTTAGTCTGAGCCTGGTTATCTTACCTGTCTAGACACAAATGGAGTGAACATCCCATTAGTGTTCAAAGATGGAGTCTGGTAGATTTTGGCAAGGAGCAAGGTAGCATATTAACTTCTAGCACTGGATTGTGATTAGGACTACACAATTCTAAGTGCCAGATCTTAGCACACTTAACAAGATGGAGAGGAATTTTTCAGTTATAAAGAAAGCATTGACTGGCCTTCAGAGGTTCCCACCTATTTGGCCTAAATCTGGAGACAGGACAGAGGCCAGAATCTTCTTATCTCACGGGTCATAGGGAAGAAAAAAGAAAACAACTCTACCCTGTGTTAGGAACCAGGGACTATCTGATGGACATAGATGGTTTTGGTCCAGGATCTGTTATCTCAGGGAGATTGGTTCTCTAGTGAACATAGAGAAAAACAAGATAGAGGGAGATACAAGCTAAAATTCCTGTCTGTTGTTATCTGGGCTAATGCAGGATACCGCAAACTAGGGCTTTCTTGTAAACTCAATGGGAGTACCCCGAGGAATGCCAAAGACCTTGTGTTTCTAAGCAAAAGAAGCTGGTACATTTATGTCATTGTCCAGTTGAGCGGTGGCCTGGGTCTGCCTGTTGCTTAAGGGCAAGAAGAGGAGAGAAAGGAGACACTGCAGTGGGTTCTCATAGTCTGTGCCAGGCCTTGCCTGGGCCACTCAGCTCAGCTTCACAGCTCCTTTGACCCACAAAGTGAGAGAGAGAGAGAGAGAAGGGACGGGCAGCAGGTGGCTGCAGGCGGTCCCATGTGTGTGCAGCACCTGCTAAGCTTGTAGGCCCCACCCACGGGTAAGGATGTCCTCATCAATATTCCAGAATATGGAATCTGTCCCACCCGGATGGATGTTCACTTCTTTGGAGGAAAGAAAGAGCTGAAGTGTGCAGAAGGGTAGAAGTCTCTGGCCCTCTACACTTTGCAAACAGATCTGTGCAAATTTCTAGCACAGTTATAATGAGCCAGAAGAAGCAGAATTCAGTGGAACATACTTTAGAAACATCCTGCTTTGCTTCTGGTCCCCCAGGCCTCACCTGCTTTGGCCCACTGTGCTGATAGAGGCCCTGGACTCTACAGATGCCTTGGCTCCCATTTGCCTGTCTTGGATCCATTGTCCTACCAGGATTTCTAGTCCTCCAGTTTTGTTTATTTTATTTGTGCTTTGCTCCTGTTTCTTTATCTTCCAACTTTATGCTGATACAGTGTGGTTTTGTAAGTGGCTTCAAATCCTTTACAGAATGAAAGGCTGGCTACGTGTGAAAAAATTACATACAAACATGGATGTGATGCCCTTGGTAGCTAGCATCACGTCGTCCTTTAAGGTCTAGGTAATGTCAGTACCAAACCCTTTCCCCATCCCTTGGGAAGCCTGTCACCCCGACTTCAGTGATGAGTTGAAGCTCAGTTTTTCTCATCACCCTGGATGCATCTGTAAAGTGCCTGTGTATTTAAGAAAACTTAGAATGGCACACCAGGCCTCTCTGCTCAAACTTGGAACTTCCCTCTGGTTGCAGGAGTCGGGAGTTTTCTCTGGCCTCTGGCTGCTTTCCGGCAATTTGAGGAACATCTTTCCCATCTTATAATGCTGTTCTGGTTCAGGCTGAGTACCATGCCAGGCCAGTCCACCATTTCAGAGAAGATCTGAAATGTCTGGCTTTCCTTCTTTTTTCTCACGACCACCTGAACAGAGAGAGGCTGGGGCAAACATGGGGTTCATTTCCTGCCCCCATATACTATGCCCCCTCACCACGAACAACCTGGATCTATTTGCGTGAAATCAACCTGTTCTCCTTCCTTTGCACAAACAGTGACCTGTCTGCCGTGGAAACCTAGCTGGCCTTGCCCCTCGTCCCCAGGGCTGAGAACTGCCTTAGAAATTGGGCACGGAGGGGGATGTCGTGTCGGTGCAGTCACATCACGCTGTTCAGCGATTTCACTTTTACCCTTTAGGTGCCACACTTGAGAGATCAATCAATTGGTAGACATTCTCCTCAGAGCTCCACGGAGGCACAAAGGGAGTAAACGTCTGCTTAAGGCTGATCCTGCGCTAGCTCCATGACCCAGTGGGGCTGGCAGTGGAAGATGGCGAGTGGAGGCAGCCAGCTCAGCCGCAGGTCAGTCCTCACCTCCTGTCCTTGATTCCTATCTCCCGTAAGGTTGGCGTCTACATTGGTTATTTCTGTCTTCCCAGACTCATTCCACAGGTATATGACAGAAAAAGATTCCACTTAAATCAATAATGGGCAGATCAGATTTCTTAAATCACAGCAGATTAGCTGCTGGGGAAACTTGGGGCCACCTTGACTCATGTCACCCTTTTATTTTTTTGCAAAAGTCATGCAGCTGGACTGACATGGGTGGAACTGATCCTCCTGAGGCCTCACTGCGGGGTTCCATGACTCCCATGCCCTACAAATCTTCTCATTGCTCCCACATCT